AAAAGCTCTTCTACTCAAATTTCTCTGCTGTTGTCATGGCTATGCTTCAAGAAGCTTTTTTTTTCTTCTTTTAAGGTGATAACTCATAACGTACCAGCTCGCTTCTCTATAAGATTGGTTTATTGCCGTGGTTACGCTTATTTTCCAATGCTAAGAGCTCAAAACTTACCAGCCCATTTCAAGAAATGCATAGTTGCCACATGTTGTTAAAAACAGTGTAATATTTGCATAAAAACTTCGATTATTTATGACTGGTGCTGTGTATCATTTTCAATTGACACACAATAATACTGCCCCAAAAATTCGAAATCATAGAATGTAAAAGAGCCCGCTAATCCACAACGTTAAGTATTGATAGAAAATTCGAAATTATAGAATGTAAAAGAACTCGCTAATCCACAACGTTAAGTATTGATAGACAATACGAAATTATAGAATGTAAAAGAACCCGCTAATCCACAACGTTAAGTATTGATTGACAATACGAAATTATAGAATGTAAAAGAACCCGCTAATCCACAACGTTAAGTATTGATTGACAATACGAAATTATAGAATGTAAAAGAACTCGCTAATCCACAACGTTAAGTATTGATAGAAAATTCGAAATCATAGAATGTAAAAGAGCTCGCTAATCCACAACATTAAGTATTGATAGACAATACGAAATTATAGAATGTGAAAGAACCCGCTAATCCACAACGTTAAGTATTGATAGAAAATTCGAAATTATAGAATGTAAAAGAGCCCGCTAATCCACAACGTTAAGTATTGATAGAAAATTTGAAAGTCGTAAAAAACAGTACTTGTTTTTAATCCGTTGTAACTATATGCAGTCAACTTAAACGATTTGGCATTTCAACATATTCTAAGTTTTCAATGTATATTTTATATAAATTGACCGGATGAAGCCAATAGTACAAAATATATTTTTAGAGCCCTTGTATACCTTGATTGGTTTATCTAAACTCACAAGCAACTCGCAGATGTGACATAGAAAACCATTATAACTACTTTTAGTCTCCTAAAGGGCGTTTCAAAAACACAAATTAGCGAACTACTATATATAAGTACTAATTTAAGAAACTTCCAAATACGCAAACGCTGACAAAACATATTTAAACAATATTAATGACGACATTTTTGGTGGTTTATTTTTATCTCAAATGACAAAATGGTCTATACGTGTTTTACCTAGTGTGAGGAAACGAATCCCGAGTTTTAGTATTATAAGTCCGTAAACTTACCACTACCCACCGGGATAAATCAGTGCTGAAATCCACAATAAGAGAAATTTATAACTAGCTTCTTCTTCTTCCATCTAAAAATTTAAAATTTACAACTGAAAACAATATACCAAAAGTGTTTAATTTTCCAATAGAATGGTAAAAACAAAAACGTAACTTGTTAGAGGAACCATTGATTAGCTGTGTTGGTTCATAGAACTGTTTGAAATTTCTCATACAAACACAATGCACAGAATTCACTCATCACAAGAGGAAGTACAGATAACATCAGCCAAGTGGGTTATTCTTGACAACGGTAATTTTACGGAATTACACAAATCTACTCTGAAATAAAACTTGATGATGTATCGAAAAAATTTAGAAAGATTTTCAAATGATATACCTTAACATTGATAGATAAGTTTTACATTTTACATTATTTTTTCTTTTTCAGAATAATCAGCGTTCTAAACATATTTTCTAACTGAGGTCTATCTTGAAGATTCAAGGCAACCCTGACGATGGTGGAGTAAAGCTACCCAAACATGTAGGGTCTATTATTTTGGCCTTTGGCCAAATAAAATCTTTATTGTGCATTTTAAATGATTATCCTATTTTTATTTCTAAAATTTGAGGTTTATCTTCCTAGATTTAACACCCTCTAAGTAATGTTTTGCTCGCCTTACTCAATGACAATTTCTGAAACGTTAAACCTTCTCAATTCGTTGGTTATCCACCGATAATGGCAACAGTTAGCTCTGTTGAACAACGTAATTAACTCTTTAAATCTTAGAAAGCGCTAATTGTTCCAAAACAATCTTACCTGAAAATTTTAAATATATTCCGCATGAATAATACCAATGATTACGTCATTTGTCCGAGATTGGAATAAATATTTAAAATTTACAGTGAATGAATATTTACCTTACAAAACATAATGCTGATTGAAAGTATCATGAAGAGATAAAAAAATCAATATTAGGTGCTGATATATATAATAACATTCGTGTGCTTTTTTATTATTGGTCATTAAATAATCTCTACGGAATCCATAAGTATATTTTATCTGATTTTTAAAACGTCTTCAATTTATATATGAGTATGATGCATAAAGTTAAAATTATGAGCTTCTACAAAATGTATGTTAGTTTAAAAAAAAATCACATTTTATAATTTTGTAAGGAAAATTCGAGTCTACAGTGATGTTTCATGATCACGTGATATCAGGTCAGTTTTATTAATAACACAGAAATTGTAGATAAGTAATTTAAATTATTAGTAGCACTTGCATATTTTCTTTAAACAAATTATCTTGGTTTGAAGATACATTGCAAGTCATATTTCGTTTTGTTAAAACAATTATGTGGATTTTTAACATAAAAATATGCAATGTTTGTCATGTTACAAGATGAAATATTGGAAGCTTAGATTTAAGTTAAATAAACAGAAAACTAAATACATCCACTACACAGATAAATATATTGATTATGATTATTAGTTTTATTATTATCATATTCTCTTTTTTTCTTTTTCATGTGTTCTACACAACCCATGATAATTTCACTGTTAATTACTGAAACATGTTAAACAAACATAAAATATTTCGTATAAATACCTCACCTTAAGATTATCTAACTGGCATAGTTATCTATCCACTGTGCTTCCCAGTGGCACAGCGCTATGTCTGCGGAATTACAACGCTAGAATCCGTGCTTCGATACCCGTGGTGGGCAGAGAACAGATAGCCAATTGTGTAGCTTTGTGCTTAATTACAAACAATCTAGCCAGTGTGGAATCTCTGTACGTGTGTTTTAAAATCAACAACAAATGTTTTGAGGAATATAGTGCCATCTGCTATCCGTTTGCGATATTATGTTAATAATATTATAATTGCTGTTTTCTTTCAAAATACTTATTACTCCCCCTTAATGAAATTAGATCAAGGTATACTTCAACTATCTAATTTAATATATGTGGACAATTATTGTTATATGACAAACTAAAATAGTTTAAAACTAACTAAAAACTAGATAAATAGCATTTAATAGCGGTAGGTAATAGAGTTAAAATTATATTAACAGTGTTTTATGTTTTAGAAACTGTGGTATCCTCAACATAAACTGATTTCCGCATGACGACTAGATAGGTCCGATTTATATCGGGAAGTTCATGCAGGATAATTATAGAGTGAATCTTGATTTAAGTAATCAAATAAGTTTAAGCTAAGAAAATACATAAAATGGACAAATGATGAAAATGTAGAAACAATCTTTAACATAAAAGATAGTGTGCATACATGCGTAGACACTGGACAGTCGCCTCTCTACTGAACGATAAACCAATGAATAGTTATTTTCCCTCGAAAAGACTTTCTGTTGATCGATTATTGTCTCGAACCAACTAGAACTGTTTTTTTATTCCAACTACAACTGACGCTCCATACTAAAGAGGAAACCTCGGTTTTACCCATAAGCAACAAGTGTCACCAGATCAGATGACTGGTCGTTCTCTTACAGCATACAAAGACTGTAACTTCTGGAGAGAAAGACATTGCTGTCGATGACCTATCCTACACAAGGTAGTTAGAATGAAACAGATTGGACCACGTGGTTATGCAAAAACTGCATAGAATCTGAATAAATATTTTTTTTTTTAGAAATTCTTATATTAATACAGAACAGTGAAAATGCATAATGTGCCTATATATCAAAGAAACAAAATGTCAGAGCAAGAAACAACTCTAACACAGAACAAGGTCTGGATTCTGAGATTGTGGCCATTACAAACAATTGTAGAGCATGTAGTAAATAATCTTTACTACTTTGAAGTCATATAGGTAATAGATGGCGCTAAAACATTTTGTTTTAATAATTAACAGATTTTATATTTATATTTATATTTTAGAATTGTAATAATTTTTTGCTACATATTGTTGTGAACAATTAAAATAATGTTTTGTTTTTACATGAATCTAAAGTATATTGTTGTTTGTTGAAAAATTTCGTATTACAATTATTCAAATCAATACACAGACTGTTTGTCGTTGTTTTAATTGGACCAGCATGATAATGTTAACAATATCAGTGAAATACTGTAAATGTTCTCATTTTTAAGCTTGTCACTTCCACGCTTCTACAGTAACATTTTGAAATTATATTACAGAAATATAACATACATAAAATATATAATGTGCTTTGCGCCATAAACAATAATTTTTATAATTCTGAGTTAAATTTATATTATTTTTTATTTTGAATTTCGTGCAAAGTTACACTAGGGCTATCTGCGCTAGCCGTCCCTAATTTAGCAGTGAAAGACTAGAGGGAAGGCAGTTAGTCATCATCTCCCACCGCCAACTCTTGGGCTACTCTTTTTTACCAACGAATAGTGGGATTGACCGTCACATTATAACGCCTCCACGGCTGAAAGGGCGACGGGGATTCGAACCCGTGACCCGCAGATGGCGAGTCGAGCGCCTTAACCACCTGGTCATGCCGGGCCGTTATTTTTAAGTTTTTAATTTTAAATTAGGCTTACATGATACATTTTAATACAAGGAATGAAAATTAATTGACAGAATTCTTCATTGCGGAAATCATAATGTTTTTTAAATGACTGGCTAAAATAACTAAAAAAATCATTAATTTAACTAACTTAGAATCTTGGCTTTTTTGATGATATTAACACTTTATATAAAAAAAAAGTGAACTTGTTATTGTGTTTTATTTAACTAGTTTTCATTATTACACTCACTATTTATAGATGACGCTGTTAAACATTTTTATGTTGCAGAGCAACGCCGCGTCACTTGAATAAGTTATTGTTGGTGAATTCTGCGATGAATACACCTGTTTTCGATTTCTTGAAAGATGATGTTTACAAATCTGTTTACGAACCATCAGAAGACTCATTTCTTCTTATCGATGCTTTAGAAAATGATTTAGAATTAATTCGGAAGCTCAAGTAAGTACAAATAGTTTGTTGTATATGACTGATAGTTACCATTGTTGTTGTATAAGAACTGAGATTTGAAATTGAAATTTGAAGACAGTAGCAACGCTTGTCCATCCATACAATGACAGAGGAGGCAGTAGTATATGAATATGCATCAGTCTACCAAACTGATAAAGTAGAAAGTTGTAATAGATAAGTTACAGATATAACTGGTGCTATAACATATAGGGTCTGCTCTAACCCACGAAAATCACTCGGACACCATATAAATTGTAATCAGTGTTTCTTGTTGATTTATCATGATTTGGATCAGACTTTCTTGTTAAGTGCTTTAAACTTAAATATATGTTTAACTAAATTTTGAAGCATTACATATTGTGAGGAATTTTATTGAATTTTTATTTAAAGTTTATTTTATCAGGCTCGTATAGAAGCAGGTTAGTCATGAACACAGAATTGCACATTGATTTAGGTATCTTCATCCCCATGTTCTTAAATTTGCTTAGGACCTCATATCTACCTACATGCCTCTTGGTGTGAAGTAAACAACAATGTTTAACTGAAATAATTTCATTTATGAATTATATGTTTCACATGCATCAGAAATGTACAAGCTGCTTATGAATTTTACACCGAGAAAGCAAAACTACAAATTGTTTTTATTGTTTTCTTTTCAGTCCTAGTATTTGTCTGGAAGTAGGAAGTGGTAGTGGAGTAGTGATTTCAGCTGTGTCCAAGGTCTTCCCATCAGCATATTGTTTGTGAGTAAATCTCTGTTTGTAGAGTAATGATTTTTTTAAAAATATATTCTAGGTAGAACTATGCCTGTTTCTCTGAGACCAAATTTTTTATTATTATTATGAAGGCTTAGAAAGAGAGAAACATTTTCTGAAGAAATGCTAACCAAGGAAGATGACTGAAGTCAATGTCATGCTCATGAAACCTATTTTTAGGCAATATGAATGTGGCATACTGTTGCGTTGGAAGAGTCTTGTCTATCTAAATGTAAATGCTACAATATAGGGTGAACATGATTGACAATGAAATTCAAGTTCTCTCTGAATATTCTTCACCCTTCTAGGGGAATTAAGACCCATTCCCTGCCACAGAATCATTCTCCACTGCATTACATCACTTTCAGCAGTTTACACTATTGGAACAACACAAGTAGGGTCAAATGTCTTGAGTAGTTTTCACTACATCTTGATTCTAATTTCAATACTTTAAAAGTTGAAATATGAATAATCAAACCAACGTCATACAATTTGTGCTTGAAGCACAACCAAAGCTGTGCAATAGATATAAGTGTTTTGTTTTCAGATTGGTTGTGGGCTGTCATACAACAATTCTTTGTATACTATGATTGGAGGTGAAATTCAGACTTCTGTTTGAGTAATCAGTCAATTGAAAAGCAGCCTGATGTTTTTTACACTTTACCAGCCTTTCCAAACGTAATTTTTACCACAGTCACCAACAATTTTTTTAGTAACTGATGTGTTTTAATAAACATTGTTTATGAAGTGTGATGGCATGTCTTTGATCAGCAGGTTGAAGATACAATTTTTACTAATTATGTGCCTATTAGAATGGATGTTGATTATCATGCACCTTTAAAAGTCTCAGAGATTGTTGATCTTACCCATTGTTTTGCAGAATAATCATAATGATACTACTTCTCAATACTTATGTATCTCAACTTATTACCTCAATTTCTGTTGTAAAGAGTAACATATAAAATTTCTTGAAATCCACATTCATTTTCCTGGATATACCTATGAACATAAAGCTTGTTAATTTCATTTCTTCACCAAAACATGAATTTCATGATGATTATGTAGAGACCTAATCTACTCTTAGTTTTGCTACTCTCACTACTACTAACTAGTTATACCTAATTCAAAGCTCATTAGTGCTGCTTGGAAGAATGAAGCAAATAAATTAGGCATCATATAGAGGTGGAATGTAAGCAGTTTGTTTGGTTTAGATGTATAGTTCTTTACTCACCATTAATAACCTAAGATATCTTAGGAGTTTGGATAATATGTGACATACCATCACAGTTAATTATCCATTATTATTCAGCAAGCTAACTTTGTTTATTTGCTTTGCTTTTCCAAACAGCACAGATGAACTGTGAATTTGTCAAAATTAGTATGTTGCAGTGGGAGTAGCGAATAAAAGAATAAATTAAGTCTCTACATAATTGTTTCTTTGTTGAAATTAATATTTTGGTGAAGGAAAGAAATTAACAAATATATAAATAGCTAGTTAGTCCACTGAATAATAATGGATAATTAATTTTATTGATAGGTCACATGTTAACCAAATAACTAAAACATTTCAGGTTATTGGTGATGAGTAAAAGATATACATCTAAGTCAAACAAAATATAAAGCTTGTGATGTAGGATTATAAGCCTTTCTTGTCTTATAAAAAAATTACATATATAATTGCATTCACAGATTCTCAAGCTTTTTATGCAGGAAATATCTAATGAATAAATCAAGATATATTACAGATGTAAATTATAAAAAATTGTATTAATAGAAAGAAAAATACACCTCTGGATGCATATTTTGATTCATCACATTGTAGCATCAGTATTTCTGAAAATGTTAACAAATTAAAAATTGTATACAAGTCATGATAAAAGTCATTGCAAAAATAAACCTTATTAATATACATAAGCTACCCAAGAAACTCTGGATAATCTTAACTGTTGGAAAATATGTGGCTTAAAGGTAACTAGTGATTCTGTTTTTTGTTTTTTTTGTGGGTTAAGAAATAGATCATAACTATAAAATAATCAGGTCACTAAAGTTTTTATTGTAACATAACTTTTCATAAAATTTTCAAAATTGATTCATTATTGTTAAACATTAATGAATTTTTTGAGTTTTAGGATTGGCTTGTAACCTTTTTAATATTATTTTTCATTGTTAAAATTATGGGTGC